GGGTGGTTCACACGGAGCTGAGAGGAATCTATTCCACACATATTCCACAGAGAGCGGCACCCTCCCCTGGAAATGAAGTAATCTCTCCATCTTGGGGCCAGAAAGGCTGAAGGCCTGGCACTGTGAGGAGCTGAATCAGAAAGCTTGATGTTTGGAGGAAGCGTGGGCCAACTCCTTTCCCCTTCCTGGGCTGGCCAGACATGTCCCCCAGGATGCCAGTAGGGATGAGGACCTTAGCGTCATCAAACTGTGGTGTTGGAAAAAACTGCAGAATGCACCCAGTCAGATGGGGGAGGAAACTTCGATCTGATGAGAGAGACAGGATCTGCATTACAAAGCAGATATAGATTAGTATCCCGTGGTCACACAGAGAAGCTATCTGAATCTCAGACAGGGTATGTCACTTGCTCAAGGTTACTCTGCAAGTAGTAGCAGATCCAGATTTTTGGCTGCAAGAGCCATCCATACCTCTTGCCACCCTGTGATACCAAGCCCCCTCCCCCCCCCCCCCCAGAGGCTGGAGTCAGAGCCAGGGCAGGGGAGAAGAGGGACTAGTGAGACCTCTAAGGGAAGGGCCACCTAAGCCCTTGTTAGCTGACCTTTGGGTTCCTGTGGCAGAGCTAGACACTATGGCCCTGTCTGGGAGCCATGGGACCTGTCATGAAGGGGGACAGGAGCTGTTCTTGCTAGAGAACTGGAAAAGAAGCAGGACCCAGGAATCAAAGAAAGTCACAATCAAATTTCTATGGCCATTCAGCTTCCCTTTACAGCTGATCACTAGGGTCACCAGAACCGTCTTTGCTCCAACAGATCCTGGGGAAGCCAGACTGCACAGAGCTTCCCGACATGCCTCTGCCTGGCTCCTGACACATTCCCTGAAATGTTCCTAGAATATAGGAGCCAGGAACAGTAGAGGAAAAGATAAGGGGGCAAAAGGAGAGAGAGAGAGAAAAAGAGACCTGCCCCCCCCACGTTCCCACCATACATGCCTGCGCATGCGCATGTGCACACAGGCAGAAGCTAGTCGGTAGATTTCTGTGCATGCTTCTGTCTGCCTTCATGGAAGCCCTTGGGCATCTCCTCCTTGGATCATCCCTCCAGATTGTGCTTCTCTCTGCGAACATGTGAGCCATGAGTGCATTTCTCTGTGTCTGTCCATGTACAACCACGGAATGCTTCATGCAGATGTACATATGTGTCTTTCGGCTGCAGCTCTGCCAGTGTATGTAGTATATATCTGCCTGCCCACGTGTGCATCTTCTGTACAAATGTGTATACATGGTGTCCCTGTGCTTGGGAACCTGGGTCTGCCTATCTACAAGGATTTGTCTAGGGCCTTTGCATGTTGAGGTTTGAAATGAATGGGTCTTGGATTCCTCCTTTGTAACCAGTCTGAGCTGGCTAGGCAAGGGGAAGTGGAGGTATGGAGGGACAGCCACTTTCCATCACTGACCTTATTCATCCTGGAAGAACAGAAGTCACCAAGAATTCACTGATGGAATTTTTCCCTACTCTCCAGGCCCAAAAGCCCATCTCAGAGAAAGGATCACTGAGCAGAGTGGGGAGAAACGGGAGCCAAAGGAATGAATCCTTCCAAAAGAGAGAAAAGCTAGGAGAAAGCTGGGCAAGAAGGGGGCGGGGGGCATGAGAGAGGTTCTTTAGGCTCAGTGATTTCTTTTTTTCCACCATAATTGTTTAAACATTATTTGTTTCCTGGTAAAGGGGGACCCCAGACCTTTTGGGCAGGATTGAGAGGGTCTTTGTGGAGGCTGATGCTACCTCCACCCTTGGTCTCAGCCCCTGCCTCCCAGCCCCCAGGTCTGGGTCCCCTCCCTCACATCATATTCCCCCTTCCTTCCTCCTCCCATGCCAAATGAGGCCTGGTAAGGAAAGGGTTAGTCCAGGTGAGGGAGGGGCGGGAACACCTGTAGGATGCTTTTGGGAAAAAAGAGGCTTCAGTGCCCCTGAGGATAGAAAGCTGAGAGGAGATCTGCCACCACTACAATGGAAAGAATTGAGATTAGACACCAGGCAGAACCAAAAAGCATTGGTGCTGGGGAGGGGAGAGGCTGGAAGGGAGAGAAGGGGTGTCTCCTCAATTTCTTGGAAGCAGGAAGTTGCTGTTTTCCTTCTCAGGCTTTCCCCACTCTCTACCCACATCTCTTATAAGTTCTGGGGAAGTCCTTGATCTCCCAAGGCCCCCCGTCTACACAGGCCTCTGCTACCCGGATAGCATTCCATTGACTCTGGATCCAATCCCAGAGGCAAGTCCAGGCATCCAAACTCAAATGAGGCTGGGAGCTGAGTAATCATGGGCCTCGGCGATGCAGACATTTTGTCGGGGAAATAAGCAGTTCCCCACCCCCACCTTCACAGAGGATTTGGGGGTGGAGGAGGGGCCGCCTGTCACTCAGGGTCTTCCCACCCCCTCCTACCACCATGCTCTCCGTCTTCCCACCTGCAAGTAATTTGGCCAATGGGAGGGCAGCTAAGATTGCTGTGTGGAATCTTTCTAGATCTGTGTGCATTTGGTGAGGAGGGGGCTACCTCCTTCCCCCCCAGACCCCGTGTAACCTTTTCCTCCTCACAGAAGCAAATTACTTGTAATTATCTCACATTGAAAGCCTTCAGGAGCTGCTTCCAAAATTGCTTTAATTGAATTAATTGAATCTCATTTTGCTGGAGGAGAGAATGGGGGGCAAACCTTAAAATAGCATGTGGGGAAAGAGAAGGTGAGTGACCCAGAGGGAGGGGACGCCCCAAGTCAGCTTTCCGGAGGCAGATACACAGACGGGATAACTGGTGCCCTGGACATGCTTTCCCATTTTCCAGTCTCAGCCCACTTCAAGACGCACAAGCAGCTGGCCCTTTTGCATTTGGGACCTTGCCTGTGTCCTGTTCTCAAATGGTGATGATCAGAGATGTGTGGGGTTCTGTCTCCAGCCTGATTCCTCTTCTCCGCCCTCTGGAGGCAGGTCTACCAGGGGAGAGAGGAGAATGGATGGCAATATGAACTCACCCACACTGTGACCCCTCCCTCCCCAGTGATCAAAACTGCAGCTATAAATGCCATTTATTAAGTGCTTACTATGTTCCAGGCACTGTGTCAAGCATGTTACAAGCACTATCTCATTTGATCATCACAACCACACCACGAAACATGTCCTATTAGCATTCCCATCTTAGAGGGGAAGAAACAAACCTCCAAGAGAGGTTAAGAAACTTGCCAGAAGTCACACAGCTAGCAAGAGGCAGAGTTGTGGAATTCCTTGTTCCTCTTCTTTTATTGCTCCCAGCAGGGCTTCTTCCTCATGGGAAGAGACCAAGAGACCACAGGGTTCCCCTTTTACAGCCTTGATGGCTTGAGGGATGGGAGCCGGGCACCTCCTCCACCGGGGCTCCAGGTGCATCCCCACCCAGGAGCCCCGGGAAACTGGACCAGATCCCAAGTGGGAAAAGAGATTCCTGTTTCCCCTGGAAAGGGCGGAGCGGGTAAGGCAGAGGGATGTTGTCGGCTCAGCTGGCCGCTGGCTGGGAGAGCAATTACGCTTCTTCTGCTACTTAACTTTACAACCGAGCTGTTGTTTTAACGATGCGACTCGTGTTGGGCTGTCCAATTAATCTGCCTTTGGAGGCTTTCCGAGATGGGGTGGTAGATCTTATCTCCACTCTGTGGAAAGAGGAGTGTGCAACCCGAAGTGGAAGGGAACAGCTGCCCTCAGGGCCTGTGGCCTTAGAGAAGACCCAGAGGAGGGATCTGGGGCTGGGCCACCCCTTGAGAGCCTTGGAGCTAGGGTCCTTGGGAGAGGGAAGGCATTGAGAAAGAAGTCAGCACCTCTCCCTCTGGGCACTCCCACTCCTCTCTGCTTCAGGCCTTGGCTTTGGCCCACCCGGTGCCCTTTGCCATCCCATGTGTGTTTTGGGGAATGAGAGTGGCCACGGACCCAGAAGTGGTACAGGAAGTTCTAATTGCTCATTGGGATGGGCCTTCAACCTAATGAGACGCCCCTTCTACCCTGCATATGATCCCAAGCCAGCTTCTGTCTGGGGCTGGGTTGGCCTGAGGAGCCTGGTGGGCTTTTTTGCCTGGGGCCAGCCCTGAGCTTGCAGAGCCTGGGAACAGGTTTAGGCAACAAGAGGGCAGCTTGACTTGGGAGTCTTGTGCCTGGAATTGAAGGCCCCTCCCCAGCCCTGGGGGCCATTCTGGGCTGGATTCCCTAAATGGTTCTTGCTTTTCCTCAACCCTTCTCCCACAGTTCTCTAAGCCCTGTGCTGTGTGCAGTGGAGTGTAGTGGCTATGAGTCACAGCTGTGTCTTGCTGCTCCCTGAGCTGTCCAGAATTGTCACCTAGCATTGACTCCATGGGCCCAGGCTGAACTGGAGCCCCTGCACAGCATCCAACCCTGTCTTCAGTCCTGCCCTCCACATCGCATTTATCTCTGGTCATTTGTCTGGCTCTCTGTTAGCCTGAAGTGTCTGCTTAGTCACCATGGTATCCCCAGGACCTCACACTCAGCAGAGGCTTTACCCAATATGTGCTGGATGGAAGAGAATTCTGGTTTGCCCTGGTGTTTTCTTTCCCTCCTGCCTCCTCATTCTCTGAGCTGGGCTGAGGCCATTCCACCTCTAAGCAGCACACTTCTCCCAGTAGGACTGGTCTGGCGTGTCCTCTCCCAGGGTGAGTAGGGCCACTGCCCAGGTGGAGCATGGGGGCTGTGAGGTGCCTTGCTCCCTGTGCAACTGGGTCAGGAAAGGATCTACTGGTAAAGGCCATTCCCACCTTCTTCCTTCCAGCATGCTCATCTTCCAGTTTCACACCAGAGCATATGAAATAACTATGAATATTATTAGAACATTCCACAGCTAGAACCACAGAGCCAGTCGGTGGCAAAGGCAAAAGTGGAATCCAGTACCTCTGACTTCTGTAAGTCAGGTGGGAGAGTTGAGCAACTGGCCCCCACCCCAGCATGGCTCAGGAGACAAACACCTCGCAGCGTCACTCAGGTTTTTGTACAAACTTTAATCTGTAGAAGCTCATGGTACACGGATTGTAAGAGTTGGATGCTAGTCAGATTGGTTATAAACCTGAGCAGTTCCTTTGGACAGAGGCAGGATAAGGAGCACATTGCCAGGCCTGCCCCACCTATTTGGGGGTATCTATACCTGCAACCATCCAAAGAACCTGTTTGTCCCCATTTCCCCTTAAGTGTTAGTCTGCTGGGTTCCCAAGAATATGTGCATGTTGTTCTATATTAGGGGTGGGGAATAGGAGGGAATAGGTTTTTAATAAATAGCTGTTGAATTGTATGGATAATTGGGTCCATTATCTACTTAAAATGCATAGTCATGTGGGGAAAGGACTTTTATAGGAGGGGAGCATAAATTAACCACAGGTCCACGAACTCCATGTTTGTATGTTTTGCTTAGTTTGGGTACTGGTGATTGAACCTAGAGCCTCATGCTAAGCATGTGCTCTATCACTTAGCTACACACCCAGATATGGAAGTATCAGAGGGTGGGACCTGATGGTGGTCAGCTTTGAAGACTCTGGATGTCCACTTCTGCTCTGGCTCACAAACAGGGCCCAAGGCACATGGAGAACAAATATTCAGTGTTTCTTCCTGGTTTTGACCCCAGGCAATGGTGGGGCTGCAGTCCTTTGAAGCAAGAGAGGAGTGGCAAAATCAAGGGTCCTGGGGACAGACTAAACTCCAGCCAATGACACTTTCTGCAGAGTCTTTATCCATTTGGAGGGAAGGTGTCCAATCTGTGGTAGTCTCTGCAACAGTGACAAAGGCTTAAGTCCTTGAGTTAGCTGTTTGGGTTAAGGGAACAGGACTCCATCCCGTCCCCTTTTCTCTTCTAGCTCCTCATCCTCCAAGAAAACCCATCTGGAGCTGGTTTCCTCTTGTTCCAGAAGGGATGCAGGTGCACCAGTCTTGGGCTTGGCAGGACTGGGGCCTGACCTGCCCTCCTTCCCAGACTCACATCATTTGAGGTGGAGCCAGTACATCTGGGGAATGATGCTGATACCAGGCTCCAAAGCTGTTGCCATAGCCACCAGTGGGCAGGGCACCTGCCTTGGGTAAATCCCAGAGGTATGGAAGGGGTGGAGAGCAGGGAGACAGGGAAGTGGGTCTCCCAGGGAAGTCCCCTTCCTGGCCCCCAGAGTTCTGCTTCAGGAGCTTCTTGTATTTGGAGCGTTTATTCTGAAACCAGATCTTTACCTTTGGAGAGAAAAGGGGACAGAATAAAAGATCAGGAATATGTGTGAAAAGATCCCTGGCTATAGGGAGCAAGTCCAGGAAGAAGAGCTGAGGTTGGGAACATTTTGCTCTAGTTCTGCATAGTCCAGGAAGTTCCCTGAGCTAGTATCCATTTCTCCAGCCTGGGGTGCTCTCCTCCCTTGAACCAACACCCACCGCCTACCCCGCAACACTTTTCTAATACATTCCCCCAACACTTGAAGAGAGCCAGCTATGAACACTCCCTGGAAAACTGTGTCAACTGGGCCAGGGAACTTGTCATTCATTCACACCTGGGGGGCGAGTTCCCAGCGAGCAGGCACTGGGGAAGTTTTGCACTCCTGAAGGATGGGACTGGCCCCACCTGCGTCTGGGTGAGGCCCAGCTGTGCTGCCAGCTGGGCCCTCTCGGGCAGTGCCAGGTACTGCGTATGCTGGAAACGCTGGTTTAGGTGCTGCAGCTGCAGGCTCGAATAGATGGTCCTTGGCTTGCGTTGCTTCTTGGTAGGGGCAAGCAGGTGCCGTTGGGAGGCATCCGGGGACAGCACTGGCTTCTCTGATTCTGGGGGACAAGATGGTATGTGTGGGAATTAACACTGTAGGACAGGCAGTTTCACAGGCTAGCTTGTACCTCTTCTGCATACCAGGGGAAGATTAGTAAAAGGCACAGCTCACGTCCTTCTCCTGTCCTTCTCTTTTCAATCCCCACTGCTCCATATGCGCCAGGGGATACAAGACCCAGCTCTTGCCCTCAAGGTGCTCCCAAACATGAATTTTGTGTGCAGAAAGCCCAAGGGCCAGAGAGATAATACACCCACACCTGGGGGTGGGAGGTCAGAGTTCAGAGGTTGGAAAGGCAGCGGTATGGGATAGGGCGGGGCAAAAGACTGAGTCTAGGGCTGAGAGGAGGCCTGAAAATGACGGGAAGTGCATTCCAGGTGCAGGGGACTCAAAAACAATACTCAGAAACCAGAGATAGGGTCCACCTGGCACCCTTTTGCTGCTTGAAAGGCGGGGCTGAGCGGGCGTCAAGGTCAGCATTGGGGTTTGCCATGTTTCCCCTACAGTAATGGGCCGCTCCTCTCCTGAAGAAGGGTGTCCATCTCTCTCCCCACACACCCCTTCCCCGGCCGACTGGCTCTGGGGAGACGTTTTCAGGAACCCCCAGAAGCCAGGTCGATGTGGGAAGCCCTGTCCTCAGCTGGATTGCAGGCACAGAGGGTCCCTGCAAGGTGCCCCGGCTGCGGAGAATGCAGAGCCCGCAGCGCAGGCCGGCAGGGCCGCTCCTGGATCGCTCTGGGACGCCGCTGCAGCGAGATATCCGGTCCTCCTCGCTCTCCAGGAATCTCGGCTGCTGGACAGCTGGGCCCTAGAATGCCGCCGGGTGGAGGCAAGGGGCTTCGACTCCTCCCGGTCATTGTTCCCGACCTGAGCCACTCTACGCGAACAATGGAGACCGTCCTAGGAAGATGGGGGTAGCCGAGTGGATGGAGCAGCCGCGGGCTTAGGGCAACGTTGGCCGTATTCCATAGGGATCTGCCCCGCGGACCCCGGCGCTCCAGTGCATCTTTGGTCCCCTCCCCCCCCCCCCCCCCGTATTCTCCTAGTCTGGCTCATCCCACCCTCGTCAGGGTCCCCGCCCTTAGCTGGCCGCGGTCATCGGTTGCCTTCACCTCCCCCGCATCCCACACCAGTGGCCTCGGGCGCTGCGGGCTTCTCAGATCCTTCTCCTTCGACCCCAGCCTCAGCCAATTCCCAGAAAAACAGTTAGGTTTCCGCTCCCGCCCGCGCCTGTCCTGCCTCCCCTGCTTGAACCCAGTGCTCGAAACCTGGGGCTGGCAATCGAGCGACCACCCGCGCCTCTCTGGCTGCGTGGACAGAGCAATTCCGGCGGTGACGCACTGACAGCGGCTAAGACAGGGCAGCCGCTGCTGCTGAACTCTCGGAGCCCACCGCGCCGCGCCCCAACTCTGGGAGCCCACCCAGCTCTAAGTTTCTTCCCGACCTGCAGCCTTCTCCACGCCAGTTGCAGCAAGTCACAACTGGATCTGCACTAGTCGCGATAATGGAGCCTCAGGGCCTCTCTCCGGGCGCCGCCGCACCCGCCGGCTCTAAGGGGTGTGTAGTGCTGGCTCACTTGGAGCCAAACCCCTCCCTGGGGCGGGGGTGGACACTAAGGGGTTTGGGGTTAGGAGAACCTCTTGCTCTCACACCCCTCTGACTCTAGGGCGAACTGAACACAACAGTTTCAACAGAGAAATGCTACAATCTATTTTAAGGACAGTGGTGTGTGCTGCTCTTCGTTGGATACGGGTAAAGGTTGTAAGAAAAGAAACTCTCCACTCACTTGTCTTTAGTTCAAGCAAAGAGATGACCAGGAAAATGTGGAAGGCAGAACTGAGGACACCCACATCACTTGAACAGTTACCTCAAGGGTAAAGTCTGGTTAATCTTACCCCACTCCCAAAACATACATGTTTCAGCACATGGAACACACTGTACTAGCGTAAAAAGAAGTCCAAGGAATTTTGAAGAAACTAGATCTGTAAGACCCTGCCATCACCACCACCAAATGTCACTCCATAAACCTGACCCAGCAGCCTTGGAAGAGGCAGCCCCAGTTTTGCCACAGAAGACAGTTAACTTTCCCGTGTTCTAAGAAAGTTTCCTAAAGTCCTCTTTTCAGGCCCCATGCGGTGAAAATGGATTTGCAAAGGCCAATAACCTAGAAAACAGGCTGTATCCTTGACCCATGAATACCCTTTTTTCATGCCTCAGTTTGAGAAATTGAGTGCCCAAATTCTAGGGTCACTCTGGCTCAGATGGTTCATGTGTTCATGTCAGAACAACAGGGAAGAGAGGAGATGTCTTGGTCCTGAGCTGATTGCAGAGAAGCTGCATGGTGGACATGCATCCATGGAGAAAAATGTGCCAAAGACACTTGTTGGCACATTTGGGGACAATGAGGTGAGAGCAAGCAGTGCAGGGAACCTGGAGTCTAAGCTGGAGCCAGTGCAGATGGGAGTATGTACAGGGCACTTCCAGGGTCAGTGAGTATGTCAACTCCAAGGCCAGGAAGACCTGCTAGCTCATTGGCTTTACTGAGGTCTTTCAGTGAGCAAGTACTTTCTCAGAAGCTCAAAGGTGTTCCAGGCAACAGGAACTGGGGCCTAATGTACCCAAAGTCAAGGGTGGAGCTGACAGGGATGACATGCTCCTTTGGTTAGAAGGCTGAAGCTGCCAGGGAAAGATTAGGGATTTCCTGACCAGCCTGGATCTATTCTTTGAATAATGGGTGATGGGGTCCTAGTCCCAGATTCTGCCAAGTCAGGCTCCAGTCAAGGTCAGGCATGGTCTGGGGAAAGGGGGTGGGGCCCAGGAATGGAGAAGAAGAAACCCCTACATCTACAGCCCTCCAGCCAGGACCTGATTTCTGTTTGGCAGGGTTTGGCTTGAATACTGCTTTCTGAGACTAGACCACTCAGAAAAGGGCACATGGGGAGAATCCAGAGGAAGGGGTTAGGGACCCCACCCCCACATCTGGATTGTTGCAGTTTTCCGTTACAGTAGATACACACAACTCTGCTGCTCCAGGGGGTGGGGTAGGGAGACTTCCCGGCCTGGCTTCATACAACTGCAAATCGAAACCAGGTCAGTTTTGAAAGGAGACCTAGCTCAACTTGCCCCCACTCCTCCCCGCCCCCCCTGCACCTCCCACCCCATCTCTTCGCCCTACCCCAGATTCCATGGAATCGGAGTAAAGTTTGAATCCCGCTAGCTGCATGCAAACCAGGCCATAACGAAGTTTAGGGGCGTATGGGAGCTGAACCCCCGAGGTGGGAAGAACCGCCTCGACCAGACTTACCTGTCTCTGGTTCCTGTGGGCTCTCAGCCGGGTCGCTGAGGGGCCGAGATGGCGCCGCGGGTTGCTGGCAGTGCAGGTAGGAGTCTCCTGGCGTCGCCGGCCCAGTGTAGGGGTAGGACAGAAGGTGACCATACGGTCCGGAGTAGGACAAATCGGGAGAGGCTGCGGTTGCGGGGGACGTGCCAAGCGGGTAGGCAGCCACTACCGACGGGATGGGGGCGAGGTTCGGAAAGACAGCTTTGGAGACATCCCGGCCAGGGAGGGGGCAGGGCAAAGAGGTCATTGCGGCCGAGGCCAAGCCGAAGGTCCTAGGTCATTGCCCAGCACGTCTCCCTCTCCCTCCGCCAACTCTTTTTTCCAGGGCCTTGGTCGTTGGGCGGACGAAACCTCCAGCCAGCGGCCCCTCACTTAAGATCCCGTGGAAAATGTCTCTCTATGGCTCTTCCAGAGGAGAGCTCGCACCCGGGAAAGGGGTTCCGGGGGGGTGTCCCCCATGCTTTTCCCCTCCCCCCTAAGTCTGTGGGAGCCCCCCCTCCTATCCACAAGGTTCGGTTCCCGGGACCCGACGGACCCGCCCACGTAGATTCCCCGGATTGGCTACTGCACTTAGTGACTTCACTGAGGCTTGGAGCCGGGACCCGCCCCCAGGGCAGCCAGAGTAGGAAGAGGGGAGGGTTGCGGGGCGCAGGATCCTGGCCCATCTCTCCAGGCGTCTTCTCTGAGAGGGTGCCGGGGTTGCAAGGTGGTTGCGCAGCCAGAGAGCCTCAGTAATATGGCAGACGTACTAGGCAGCGGGCGGCCTTGGGATGCCCGAGGGGCGAGCGTAGCTGCCCCGTGGGCGGAGGCGCCTCCGCTGACAGGACACTTAAAACCCCGCCTTCGTGATGTCCAGCTCTCGGGGTCCGCAAGGCGATTCGGCTCCCGCTGCCGGGGATCTGCAGGGAAATTGAGACCAGACCGCCAGCGCTGGCGGCTTATTCAGCGCGTCGGAATGCGTCGCTGCAGAGCGCCGGCAGTTTGTTGGTAAACAGACGCCGGGGCCGGGATGGCACAGCCCGGCGCCCAGCCTGCCCCGCACGCGCGCGGCGCGCACGCCCCCGCGGGGCGCCCTGGGCCTGGCACGCCGCGACCGCCGCGACTGCGCCTCACCGCCCCCCGTGCCGGCTTCCGCTTCCGGCAGGGGCCCCGGCTTGATTGCGACACTGTGGCTGCTGTGGGCCCTCGAGGCTACGGAGGGGGGGGGGGATCTGCCGTCTGGGCTTTTGCTTGCACCGCACCCCGCCTTACCTGGCGCCGCCTGTGACCGAAGCCTTGCATGAACCAGGACAAAGTCTGGGAGTGGGGTGGCTCCTAGGAAGGCTCATGAAATAACAACAGGCCTGTTTCCCTGGCTGCATTTTTCATACTATTTGCAGAAGGTACCTATATACATTAGTACCCAAGGACTTGACAGGCATGTGTCCACCTTTACAATCATCTATTGCTGCATGTGTGCAACTACACGAGGACTCCATTCAAATACAACGTATATTCATATGTACCAAATTTACAGGTTTCTACACAAATGTTCACACTAGCATCCCTCTATGAAAAGAGAGGCTCGTTTATGGATCTGCAGTTTAGGTTGTGGATCTTCAATTTAGGCTGTGATGTATACAAATCTGCATACCCAAAGATAAATAGCAAATCCTATTTAAAAGCACTGTAAAAGCACTGTACTTGGGCCTTATACAAACCCATGAATATAGAGGTCAAATCACTGGTGTACACACTTAAAAGTATAGAAAATCCAAGCACAGGTGCATTTAAGCCCATGTATCTACCCTGTAAGAGATACCTGCCTACACACATCTAAGTTGCTTCATGTTAGGAGAAGACAATTCCATCTGTAGACCCACTGGAGTCCTCAGGTTCCTCAGCTTACCCACACACCTTTTTCTCAGTGTATGCAACTTGGTAGGTATCTTCATGTTTTACATAAGTATGCTATTATTATCAGGGCTCAGAGTAAAGGTAGCAGTCTTGGGGGATGAGAGAAAAAACTATCAGAGAAAAGGAGAAGCCTGTTGGAGGAAGGGGGGCACCAGACTCAGATCTCCTTGGAGAGACAGAAAATTCCAGGGGTGTGTAGGGGTGGTTGAAGCTCACAATCAGTTATCCTGGAGGGAAGAGAGCAAATCTATTTCAAATTTTACTCTCCTCCTGGAATAAACAGAAATAGGTTTTCTAGGAAAATACATCTCTGGCCCCTAGTTTGGAATTCTCCACCCTGAAACCTTGGAACTCTGAAGAAGGGACTCTTTAGGAGAGCCTTCTCTGGGCAGCTGAAGAACCCGTTCCCCTCTCATCCAACAGGGTTGTGAGGGTTTGTTTATCACATGGAACCACCTTTCCCCTTTTTGTACCCAACTTCAGTCATGCCACCACCTCCTCCTTTAGAGCTGGGGCTATGCTATGTCCTTCCTAACCTTCCTTTCTAGCACTATAATTTTCCTCTGGAGGGAGGCCACCATCGTGGGGCCCCAGGAATGACATTTCCAGGTGCACAGGAGGAAGACAATGCTCTTTGAGGCAGGGTTGGCTGCCAGGGAAGGGTTCACAGAGGAGATGCTTGTGAGCTGGAATTGAAAGGACAGTGGAAGACACTTCTTCCCCAGGATCATGTTTCCAGAGTGCTTTCTGTGCTGGCCCTTGCAAGGAAAGGCAGGGGTGGGTTTTCTGGCAGCCTCTGCAGCAGTTGGCTTTGGACATCCTCCAAAGCTAGGAGATACCCAAAGATACGAATGCAGCCCCTAAGCATTCAAGGGACTTCTCTGAATTTGTGTAAGATCCTTATCCTGTGCAGCAGCTGTGACAGAAACAGCCTGTAGTCCTTTGGAATTTACCAAACACTCAATACCAAGCTCCGTGCATCTCTCCTTCCCCCCCTCCCCACCCTGTGAAGTAGGTACTATTATTAACCCATTCCCCAAATGAGGAGACCTTGCCCTCCATTATCACCTCTCTCTTCACAGATCCAAAGGATGTAGGATTGGGGCACCTAGCTGGGAAACTGGGGGCTCTCCTCACCTTCAGACTCCCCAGGGTAGGATATCCTTTGACAGGAGTCACATCTTCCCAACCTTAAAAAACAAGGAGGTGTTAGGGATGGGAGCTAGAAAGAACAGTTATCAAGTGCTTGATCAGAATATAAGGAGGGCTGGCCTGAGAGGCCTCAAGCCTGGGTTCCCATCCCAGCTCAGCCTCCAAGCTGCTGGCTGTGATATTCTAGGTCAGCCATTTCCCTTGTCTGAAGGCTACCAGAAGGATAACAGAAGCAAACTGGATTAAGATTCGAAGGCTTTGTTATTTGCTGCATAATGACTTGCAAACCCCAAATCCAAAAACAATAAAATCAAGAAAAAGGAAGAGGAGAAGGAAGGAAAGAAAGAAAAAAGGAAAGGAGGAAAAGGGAAAGAAAGAAGGGAGGAGGTTGAAAGAAAGGAAAGAAGGGAGCGAGGGAGGGAGAGAGACAAGACCAACTAACTCTTCTCTCACTACCAATACCTCACAGCTTCTGCTGCTTAGGAAAGCCAGAAGTGCCCCCCCCACCCCCCACCCCCGTCAGATCAGAAGATGTCCTTAGCAAGATGTCCCCAGCAACAGCCCTGGGGTCCGGAGACAATGGGGTCCAGAATAGGGAATACAGCTCCGAGGGGTCCTCCAGAGTCAGCCCTAGGCAGAGCAACTGGACCTGATCGGCGCTGTGCACTGCGCGGGCTCTTCGCTGGTCGGTAGACGAAAACCATCCCGCACAATTGGGTACCGATTGCTCCAGCATTATTAACCCGCGCGGCGGCGCGCGGGGGCTGGGGGCGGATGTATTCCTTGCTTGAGGTTACTTGGAGTTCCGACCCTCCTTGTAGCAGGAACTCCACTCGAATCAGCACCGCTTCCTGGCAGTTCTTCGCGGCATTCTGAACACGTGGGAGTGCACAGGAGTCTCCGCGCAGTGGCTGGGCTCTATGTGGTGCCAACCGCACGCTCTCGAGCTAAGAGTACCGCCTTGTGTGCCTGAAATCGGCACCTGCACACATCTGCCCAGGGAAATGGAGTCTGGACCACGATTCCTGCCCTGGGCTGCCGTTCTGGCCAAACGTAACTTTAGTTTTGTTTCAGTGGGTTTAAATTCGATTTGAGGGGACCTTTCTTAGTAATTCGGTTTGGGGAAAGTAATTCGGTTTTTGCCGGGGAAGGGGTTAAGAATCGAATCTTTGCCCAGCTTCCCTCCACCTTGCCCTTTGAGCTGTGAATAGAGCCCTCACATTCAGAGAGGCCTGGGGAAGGACCATCCTGTAGAGGCCGGCCTACATCCCTCCGATTTGACTTTTCCCGAAATTTGGAATTATTGTGTTTTCTTCTGATGGAGCGTTTAATGAGCACCGGCGCATACGGGGTGGGGGTGGCCGGGTAGTTGCTTCGGTCGCTGCCTGTCCGGCGGCTTCTCTTTGCCCTCACCTACACTCCGCCGACAGAATACTCTGTGGTTGGAGTTCCCGCCCCATTTGTCAAAGAACCTCGGAGAAGTTGTCGGGGGGGAATCAGAGGAGAAAGGCCCTGGGATCAGCGCAACCCCTCCAGGGCATCCGTCCCTCCCCACGAGGGTCTCCCGCATCCCTTCAGCTCTCCCTGAGTCGTTTTTTGCGACATCCAAATTACAGCTTTCCCTCCAGGGAAAATCTATTTGAAATTGACGGGGGAAGTTTTAAAAACACACGCATATGGGCTGGGGTTGTGACTCAGTGGTAGCATGCTGGAGGCACTGGGCACCGCAGAAAATAAAGATATTGTGTCCACCTAAAACAAAATTATAAATATTAAAAAAAACATATATTAAGTCATCAAACACGTTAAAAGCAAAATTATGAACAAATTTTTAAATTTAGGACACCCCAACACCACCGCCAACAACAAAAAAAATGGTTAACCAAAAAATGGAGGGGTTTGAAGGTGCGTTGGAGGCGCCCTGCTCGGCTAGGAAGCCACGCGGCACTGAACTTCACCAAGCGCCTGAGCCGGGAATGGCTCGCGGTGTCGGGTGCAGGACGCGTAGGCGCTGGATTGGGTGGTCTGGGGCTTAGGAATTCTCTGTCCCGAAGCCAGCGCTTAATTCCGCAGACCCGAGGGAGGGGCCCTCCACCCGAAGCCGAGTAGACCCACCGCAGAAGGTGCGCCTAGGCGCCCCGCGGAGAGCTGGCGGCAGGCCCTGAGCCCAACCCGGCTGCAACGAATTCTCCCTGTCCTGAACAGAGGCAAGTCGGTCCAGATCCTCAGACCTTCGCAGACCCGGTCACGGAAATGAGGACTTTACACTGTCGTCTTCATCGCTGGGCCTTAGGTGAAAGCCAGAGGTGGGACATAGATGCATCTCGTTCCAACAACGAAGCGGGTGTGTGCACGGGA